TTGTAGTGTACACAATGTGAAGTGGGGAGGAGTTTGGAAAAAGAGTATCTGTAGTTGAATAGCTGCTCATCTGGATGCAACAGGGTTTCTGACTGTAGCCAAAGTGTCCCTTCAGGGCAGGATAGGATTAAATAGGAATTAGTCAATACTGAAGGATGCATAAAAGTCCTGTGATAAGGTTTGGGTTAGTTTTTCTCACTGCAGGTGCCACCCAGGCTAATCCCTTACACTCTTTAATATCCTGCCCAACCTAATCCCACTCACTATCTTTATCCTTTAATCTCTGACCCAAGTTGATCCCCCTCTTCCTCCACCTTTAATATCCCACCCAGTCTAATCCCCTTCACTCTTTCATGCCTATGCAAACGAATCTCACTCTTCAGAGGGGAATGCACAATGAAACCTAGGTGTCCCTTCTACAATACTGCACTGCCAGTGTAGCAGGCAGTAAAGAAGGCAAATGGTTGGTTGGCCTCCATAGCGAGAGGATGTCTTGTTGCAATTATACAGGGCCTTGGTGAGAACACACCTGGACTGTTGTGTGCAAATCTGAGGAAGGATGTTCTGGTTATGGACGGGCTGCAACTAGATTGATTTCTAGAATGGCAGAGCTGATGTATGAGGGGAGGTTGAATCAGCTTATTTTTGCTGGAGTTCAGAAGAATGAGGGGAGGTGGGAGAATCTCATAGAAACCTATAAAATTCTAACAGGACTAACAGGGTAGCTACAAGAAAGGATGTTCCTGATGATGAGAGATTCAAGAACCAGGGGTTTACAGACTAAGGTTCCAGGGTAAACCATTTAAGATTGAGAGGAGAAATTTCTCCACCTTGAGAGTGGCGAGCGAGAATTCACTATCACAGAAATTAACTGACGCAAAAACTTGGTTCAAGTAGAAGTTGAATATAGCACTTGGGTCTAAGGCAATCAAAGGGTATGGAGTAAACTGGGAACAGGCTGTTGAGTTGAACAATCAGCAATGATCATAATGAATGGTGGAAAATGGCTTGAATGGTCAAATGGCCTACTACTCCTATTCTCTATGTTTAAATGGCATTGTTGGTCTACCTACAGCACATGGATTGCAGTGGTTCAAGAAGGCAGCTCACCACCACCTTCTCAAGGGGAACTAGGGATGGGCAATAAATGCTGCTCTAACAGTGACGCCGTACCCTGCGAATGATACCATCAGGCAATAGCTCACTTGGTCTTGCACTTGCTTCTTTGGCAGATGGTCAAATGGTTGGAGGCTCAAGCACCTAATCCAGGTACTGAGGAAACTGAGCGTTGGTGCTGATGGAGTGCCGCACTGTCTGAAGGTCAGTGCTGAGGGAGCACACAGTCAGTATAACTTGTTCATTCACAGGATATGGTATCACTGTTAGAGCGGCATTTATTGTCCATCCCTAGTTGCCCTTGAGAAGGTGGTGGTGAGCTGCCTTCTTGAACCATTGCAGTCCATGAACTGTATGTAGACTCACAATGCCCTTAAGAGAGGGAATTGCAGGACTTCAACCCAGCAACAGTGAAGGAATGGCGAAATATTTCCAAGTCAGGATGATGTGTAGCTTAGGGAGGAACTTGGAGGTGGTGGTGTTTCAATGTATCTACTGCCCTTGTCTTTCTAGTTGGTAGGGTTTTGAAGGTATTGTGCACATTTTAAAGAGATAAATAGACTGCAATTCTCTAACTTAACAAGAATCTCTTTGGTAGTATATGGGACTGTGAAATTAAAAAAACAAATCAGGTGTAATCTCATTGCATGGTAGAGCAGGCTCAAATTGCTGCAGTGCATCACACTGTTTCTACATTGCTGCAGAGAGTGAATGTCGAAGATGGTGGATGGGAGATAATCAAGCAGACTACTCTGTCTTGTATGCTCAAACTGCTTGAATGTTCTTGGAGTTGGTTCCATCCAGTCAAGTGGAGCATATTCCATCACACTTGTGCCTTGTATGTTGTGGACAAGCTTTGGGGAGTCAGGAGGTGAAGTACTTGCAGGACTCCTAGCCTCTGATCTGTATGTGTAGTTGCTGCATTTATACAGCTAGTTATTGGCTATTCAACTCCTTATGTTGTTACAGCCTTGGTTCAAACATTGATAAAAGAGCTGAATTGCACAGGTGGTGACATCAAGGTCACTTTTGCCCAAGTGTGGCATCAAGGAGCCCGAGCAACATGGGAGTCAATGAAAATCAGGAAAAATCTTTCTGCTATTTGAAGTCATACCTGGCATATAGTAAAATGGTTGTGGCTGTTGGATGTCAGTGTCATCTCTGCAGGAGTTCCTTAGGGTGGTGTCCTGGGCCCAAACATCTTAAGCCGCTTCATCAATGATGTTCTCTCCATCATCAGGTCAGAAGTGGGCATGTTTGCTGATGATTGCACAATTTTCAGCACCATTTACAATGACTCAGATACTGTAACAGTCCATGCAGCTAGACCCAGACAGTAGCCAGGTTGGAGCTGACAAGTGGCAAGTAACATTGATGCCTCACAAATGCTAGACGATAACCATCTCTAACAAGAGAGAATCTCACCATGACCTTCTAGACATTCAATGGAATTACAGTAGCTGAATCCTCCATTATAAACACTGTGGTGTCAGCATTGACCAGAAACCAAACTGGCCATATAAATGCCATGGCTACAAGATCAGGTCCAAGGCTAGGAATCCTGCAGCCAGTAATTCACCAGTGGTTCACTAATGTCCTTTAGGGGAGGAAACTGCCATCCTTACCTGGTGTGGCCTACATGTGACTCCAGACCCACAGCAATGTGCTTGACACTGAACTGCCCTCTGGGCTGTCTGGCCAGTGATGCCTTCATCCCATGAATGAATAAGCAAAAAATCACCACCTGACTCCCCAAAACCTGTCCACTATCTATGAGGCTACAGTTAGGAGTTTGATGGAATACTTCTACATGGCTGGATGGGTGTAGCTCCAACAATATTGCAGAAATTTGAGATCCTCCAGGATAAAATGGCCTGCTTGATTTGATAGCTTCAGTGTCACCAGTTGAAAATCTTGGAATTCCCTTGCTGAACAGCAATGGACTGCAGCAATCCAAAAGGCCAGTTCACCACAACCACCACCATCTTCTAAAGGGGCAACAAGGGATGGACAATAAAATGCTGGCCCATCCAGTGATGCCCATCTCCCAAAAGTAATGAAAGAAAAATTATGGGGGCCAAGAAACAGATTCTTCACTCACAGCTTGAACAGCAGCTGAGGTATGTCAGTGTGGGACACAAAGCAACCCCAGGAAGAAGAGAGTCTGTTCAACAGGATCTTATCTAGTATATTTAAAAAAAACTGACAGAACTGCAGATGTTCGAAGTCAGAAACAAAAACAGAAATTGCTGGAAAAACTGCAATTTTTGTTCCCATCTAGTATATCTTTACCAGCAGAGGAAGAAGGGCTATCCTATTTCCTCCTGATTTGCACAACCAAGCCTTTTATTAGGAGTAAGACACTGAATTAATTGCCAGAAATATCCAAAGTCCAATGTCTTTGTCAACCAAGAGACAATCACCAGCTCTGCATCCATTTACAGCTGTTGTCTTGAAAACAGAGTAATAAAAATCAATGTTCATGCTCCTTCATTTGTAATCAACCTTTCTTGTGTATGTCATGAACGGATGCTATTGCGATATCATTTCGGTGTTGAGTAACAACATTTATTTTCACTTTTAATTTAAAATTAAGCCTGACTTGTGCCTGTTTTGAAAGTTGCAACACTCGAGGGGTTAAAACACGTTTCTTTAAAACACATTGTTATACTTAGTCAAGAGGTGGAGGGAAGAAAAACGGGAAACATACATATGTCCCTACATATTTATGTTTGCGACTTTGCTGCAATGTTTTTCCATCAATGGATTGTTTCCTGTTGAGGGTTATAGATATTAATAGATTAGTTGTCTTTCTTACCCTCCATCCACTCCTCTAGAAGTATGAAAGGATTGTAAGCATTCTTTAAAAGACTAATGGATAGGATGGCCAGCCTTAGGCTTCACTTCCCATCTGTGAATGCAGAGTCCAAAATTCACACGAAACAGCCACAGGGAGATGGGAAATCAGGCTCTGAATTCTCACCCAATAACTAACAAGATACTTACAATGGTGAGTAGGTATGTGAGGTCCTATTGTGCCACCCCTTGCATGGGTTGTGGGAGCCAATAAACTCTCCAGCTGTATAGGTTTAAGCTCGTCTCCGTTTCATCCATGGGAGGACACTGTAGCCCGCCAGACTGTTGCTGTCAATCCTTCCCCTCAATTGCAAGGGAAGAAAGTGAAGATATGGAAACAGTAACCAGGTTATTTGTAATAGGGTCATAATGATGTATTAGCCCCAGGCAGAGGGGGTTTGGGAGAATGGTCCATTCTGACTGACAGCAGACCATCATCACTGCTTAGTGTGGGATCAGCCTTGACTCATAAACCGGCAGCTCACCACCACCTTCTCCTGATAATCAGAAATGGACAATAAATGCTACTAATGTTCACATCCTATGAATAAAAATAAAATTAACTGGAGGCATAAACAGCATCTCTTATTCAACTTTGTTCATGGCAATGAAAGATTGGTGCATTTTGCTGTGGTACAAATCACCCAAACTCAAAATTTAATTGGAGAACTACACCCCTTCTACCCTGTGATGGAGCCTTCCTCTGAAATAACACGAGCTGAATGGCAGAGTCACCAAACAATGGGGCAGCAGAGCATCTCACAGAGCTTTCTGTCAATATTTGGTTGGGGAAGAAGTGGATAGAAACACGGGGTGGCAGGAGTCAGATTAAGACTGTGGACAGGCACCAAGAACACTACAGAGTGCACCCATCTTGTGCATTAGTTCAAATATGCAAAAATACTCCAAAACAATGAAAAGAACCAAGGAGATGTCAGACCAAATCACCAGAAAATTCAGTGCTCAAATTGTACACTTGATCAGTTTTTCACACTTTCTAAATACAAACTGAATAATTTATACACCAGTGCGAATTATAATCTAGATTTTATGGTATTTGAACTATACAGTACAAGTGGGTACAGAAAATAAATGGTAAGAACTGACAATATCATTTTGGTACCAGACAAAACCCCAAAAGCCTAAGTTGCATTTGCTTTACTAATCCTTCAGAATTCCAGTTCATTCAGCAGGATAAGGGTTAAAGGGGGCCAGTTCAACCCATTTGTTGTGCAACTGTTTAAAGTTCCAGTTTAATCAGCAGGATCTGGGAGGGTTAAAGTGCTATTCACAACAGTAGTTGTGTTAATCATATAGAAGTTGTTTATTTATTTAGCCTTACTGGGAGTCCTCACTGTGTAACTGTATGGTGGTACTGTTTATTCAGGGTAAAGGGTTATTTTGCTGTGTGACTGTACAGAATGCTGCTCATTCTGCAAGGTAAGGATTGTTTAGTCTTTTTAAATGGAACTGCACTGATTTAACCAGTGACCTATTATCTTCCATGGGATCCTGATATTGGTGACTGCAACAGATTCAACTGGATAAGATGCAGCACTTGGGGCAGCAGAACTGAGACCAGTGTGATACAGTGATCTCTCTCCACTGCTGGTGTCTTTGTGCTGATCAATTGCTCTGTAAAGCATTATATTGGTCTGGGCTAGGCCATGTCATTTAATGCCACCAAGGGGGTTTTTGTTTTCTGTTTTTTGAATTCCCTCAATTACTCATCCCGATAAATTCTTACATTTTAAAATAATTCCTAATCAGCTTTGCCTGATCTTGGAGTTTAAAGGGTTGTGAGCAACTCCTGCAGCTTCTGTCAGTCTCATGTCTGGTGAAGTCCTTGACCTCAGCCCTGGCCTCCTCTCCAGCTCCAGGAGTAGAATATTATGTTAAATACAATAAAATGAGAAGAGAGTAAAAAATACGGTTAAGTTAAACGTACAAACACTACTGTGGGATTCTCATTACTGAGTTCTCCCTGCAAATCCCCTAACCTTACATTTGCACTGCCTTCTGTCTCGTGTCCATCATGCCTCATTGCTCATGTAGATTTTAATTTTTATACACTTACTAGCAAGTTTAAAACAAAACTGAAAACAGAGAACTTAAGGGGAGAGTTTACTGCGCCCTTCAATTGCAGTGTTGGAATGTGTGACTGCATCAAGTGAAGGTTGGATGGCTAGCTGGCTGTTTGATTCCAATCAATCCTCTTAGGATTTACATGCAGCCTTCCGCTTTTCCAACTCATTGAGTGCTGAAAACAAACAAGCCTCTTCATTCTTTGCAAAGCAGAGTGGCCAACCCCAATTCCAAGGGCCACATTGAGTGTTTCTTTCTTAAAAACACTGTCTGAACAGCCCTCCTCCAAGCTGAATGTACACAATGAGGTGAGCTGCTGGTTGTTTAGTATCTGTCAGCTGGGGACTCTGGTGAACCAGATGGCAAGTGATGCACACCAATAAAAACACAAGTTTGGACCAGTGATTTGTGAAGAGGGAAATGTAGTTAACAGAAGTTCCACTTATCTCATTAAGTTAACTTACTAGCCATTGCAGGTAAGCAGGGAAATATCAGAGAACAAATAACAGCTCTGACAAAATAAAATAATTAGCAAGCATAAGGAATGAAAGAGTGGGTGTGACAGAGGGAAGCTGGTGTGGCATCTTGGCATCTATTGGCAAGCAGAGCTTGTCAATGGACTGCAGGCTCAATACACAGGCAGATACTGACCACTCGGCACTGCTTAAATAGTTCTAATAGCAGCTACTGAATTCAGACACTCCTCTTATTTCTCTCCCCTCCCCCACACCCTCCCCCTATTATAACCATTATACGAGAGGCTTCTGAACAAAATCGCGCAGTTGTGACAGTCTTAGGCAGTTACGACCACATGCGGTTAGTAGATATTTTGTTTGTCTCTTGTTTTTTTTCTCATTCTTTTCATAGAATTCTGCCTTTTTCAAACTAGTCACTGGTGTCGCTGGCTTTTCGAGGTACTATGGTTCAGTGGTGCTCACTCCGTTCTGATATCTCCCTCTGTCTCCCCCCACATACAATCTATCTCCCCAGTCCCACCCCCTCTACTTCTGTATCTGAAATATAAAGAGCCTCAGATTAATGTTTTTGGCTGCTAGCAATTTGTTGCATTCGACAGAGTCTATGATAGGCAGCGGCATGTAGTCTGTTTCATTGTTCTCGTTGGTGAAGGCGAAATGGTAGATGACCGGGTTAATTTTGACATCATCATAGGGACCCTTCAGAAGGAGGAAGGAGCACTCCATCGGTGAGTTGACCTTGCTCTTCAGGATGAGCTGGAATGACAGAGTGCGCTTGCAGGACAGGTTGGGGTTACGCTCGGAGTCATTGACCCGTGCCTTCAGGACCCATGTCTGGTTGAGCACTGTGAACCTTGGGGTCTCATAGTACAGCCTGGTGATGAAGTCGTCTGTTCGGTAGGGCCTGAACTGAACTTCTGCAGAAGAGTCAAAGAGAGAAGAAACAAATCAAAGAATAAAAAAAATCCATTTCTTCTAAATACTATCAGGAAATGACCTGTCCAGAATTCCAAATAGTCACTGATAACTGGCTGTCTGAACATCCAGTTTATTAGCCAAGAATGAACATTCGATAATATTTAATAATTGATAAACTAATTAATCTAGGCTGGGATTAGGAATCCATTTACTAATATGGTGAGAACGCGGGTAAGTGGATCTGAGTCCACGAAAGGATCAGCCATGATCTTATTGAATGGCGGAGCAGGCTCGAAGGGCCAGACGGCCTACTCCTGCTCCTAGTTCTTATGTTCTTAATATGGGCATGGATCCGAATTAGAACAGAATGAAGGGGAGTGGAGGTGTAGTACATGGTAATTTTGAATCATTCCATTCCTGGTCACTCACTGAGTTCTCACTTAGTGGTGACGTTGAGTGCAGCCTTGTTCTTACTGCAGAGGAAGGAGCTTGGCTCCTGGAGGCCACGTTCACTGCCTTACAGGCACCAGAGGCTGAGAGTGAGTGAGCTGGCTACCCTCAATGGAGATTGTGTCACGCTGACAGACCAAGGTCAAAATGCTGAAGGAAATAACACAAAGCAAATAAAATTGCCCCTAATATGTGCTGAGTATGGGGACAGTTGCATTAACTACAGATTTGTTGCTTAATTTCACAACAGCTTCAGTGCAAATGACATGGTGTGGGAAATGGAGTTGGGCATTCAGCTCATTTCCAACTCCCACAGGAAGGCTTGTAGATTGTTTCCTACTGGGTTTAAACGGTTATTTTAAGTCTAAACTAAAACTGCTCACTGTGGAGACAGGTTTCAATATTGAGGATTATTTTTATCTGTGTAAATGGAATCCCCTGCACTTCCTTTCTGCTGTGTGGTCACAATGGATGGTCAGACAATGGTCTAGTGGTATTGTCACCGAATGAATAATCCAGAAACCCAGGTAATTTTCAGGAGACCCGGGTTTGAGATATTAAAAGCTTATTGATGACCATGAAAGCACTGTCAGTTTTCATAAAACACACCTGGTTCACTAATGCCCTTTAGGGAAGGAATCTGCCATCATTATTTGGTCTATACGAGATTCCGAAGACATGTGTCTGACTCTGAACCACCCTCTGAAATGGCCTAGCAAGTCACTCAGTAGCATCCAAGGACAACTAGAGATGGACAATAAATACTGACTCACTAGTGACATCCACATCCCTTAAGCGTATTAAAAAAGGCAAACTGTACACCCAACCCCTGTGTCAACTGCAGACATTGCTGTGTGTCTCTCTCTCTCCCTTACAAACTGTACACCCACCCCTGCCTGAACTGCAGATATTGCTGTGTGTGTCTCTCTCTCCCCCTTACAAACTGTACACCCACCCCCTGCCTGAACTGCAGATATTGCTGTGTGTGTGTCTCTCTCTCTCCCTTACAAACTGTACACCCACCCCTTGCCTGAACTGCAGATATTGCTGTGTGTGTCTCTCTGTCCTCCTTACAAACTGTACACCCACCCCCTGTCTGAACTGCAGATATTGCTCTGCAGATATTGCTGTGTGTGTCTCTCTCTCCTCCTTATAAACTGTACACCCAGCCCCGGCCTGAACTGCAGACATGGCTGTGTGTCTCGCTCTACCTTACATAACAGCACAACTATGAGTATCATTCCAGGGACAAGTGAGCAAAAGTGTACCATTACATATCAAGAGTGTCTTATAATCCAAGTTAAACTAAAAAAAACTGGCTCTTGCTACTCTAATTTGTGCTGAGCACAGACAGCAATACCCACCCTGATGTGTCAAGTTCAGATCATCACAAAAAAACCAGCCAAAGGCAGAGGGTTGAGGACATTTTGTTTATGTTAGACATTGATTACTCCACACAAAGATAATCCATTATCAATTTTAGACGTGGATAAATACTGGAAAACAGAAATATAATCAGGTGTGGGCAAGTAGATGGTCATGAGATTGAGGGCACGGCTCACTCAAACAGCAAGCACAGGCATTTTAGCCTGAATGGTCTCTGTATTACCGTAAGGTTCCAAGGAACTGTTAAAGAATCAGCATCATATTTAACTTGCTGGTTTTTGTTTCTATTGAATTTACTCTTACTGCCTTCTCTCTTGAACTGTAAATACAGAAAGAGGGGAGAGGTCAGTCAAGTATCTTTAGCAAATCTCAGTGGCCCATGCAGGAATATGCTAGTTCCTAGCCAATTCACAGCCTAATATTATTATATTGAGGAAGGACACTTGGGTGGAGAGCTAAAGTCAAACGGTTTTTCAACATGCAATGAGGCTTTTCCTTCTCAGGCAGTACACAGGGACTGCCAGTCAGTATCTCACGACCCAAATGAACAGCACTCAGGGAAGTCTAGGAGGAGGCTGCAGCTTAATCCATAATGGCGAGATCCAGAAAAAATCTTTATGAGCAAGGGGCTTTCACTTGGAGCATAATACCATAAAAGAACAATCTGAGATTATTCTGCACATCAAAACAAAACCTTTCAAATTATCATCGTTTTTATTAATGTATACAGGAAACATATTCACTATTCAATCATGTGAGAAACACAAGATGAGAAACATCCACTAACACAGTCTGTACAATTTGCTCTCCTGTCCCCATCCCAAACATCCTGCATGCCTATTATGTCCCATGGTCTTACCAAGACATTATTACACAGAACGGGGTTATTTAGTTCACTGTGTTTCTCCTCCTTCTGCTTTTTTTCTTTCCAATGGTTGCTTAGCACTAACCCACTGTCCCTGATCCACGCCACATATGGGTAAAGGAGGAAGCCAGTCAGCCCCCCGAGCCTGCTCCACTTCCATGTAATGAGATTATGGCTGATATTTATCTGACTACAAATCTTAAAAACTTGGACTGACAAAAAGCCAACAATCCCAGTTTCAAAATTAACAGCCGACTTAGCATCTATCGTGCAGAAGAGAATTTTTAACTTTCATTACCTTTTGTGTGCAGAAATGTTTTCTAACTTCACTCCTGACTGAGCTGACTTTCATTTTTAGACTATGTTCTCCAGTCTAGACTTCCCATTCAACAGTGATAATTTATCCCTACCTCCCTCATCTGTTCCCCTTTCAGTTGCGGGTAGTGAGGAAGATTGTGAGAAACAGGAGGAAGAACAAGAAGGAACAAAATAAACCCCAAGGCTGCCCATCCAATGGAGCTCATGGAAGGCAGAATCACACATTCACTCTCCCTGTACCAACAACAACTAAAATCACAAAGCCCAGATACCACATGGGCTGAAATGGAAGGGCAGAGTTGTATGTGTTTCCCACATGCGTTGAAATGAGTTCACAATCTTGGCTGTAAGTTAGTTAGGAAGCAGCCAGGAAAAGCAGGAATTAATCACATTGTGTCAAACATTGTGCAAGGTATCCATGTGAGCTCATCTAACTACCTGCTCAATCTGAAGAGGACACAGATCCTAATGTAGGATAAGCCGAAGCAAGGAGGATTGGAAATAGGAAAAGGTGAAACTCCAATGGCAGGGAATGATACATGGCCATTTAATTAGATTATGGCTGATCTTCACTACAAACCTCATTTACCTGTCTTGTTTTAAATTCACTTTCGAGTGATTTGAACATCACTGACTAGCTTTCCTTAATTCATCCACTTTAAAGAAACGGTAATATATTTCCAAGTGTGGATAGCAAGTGGTTTGGGGGGCAATTTGCAGGTGGTGGCGTTCCCATGTATCTGCTGAGCAGTTTCGGGCCCTGTATCTAAGGAAGGATGTGCTGGTGTTGGAAGGGGCCCAGAATAGATTTGAGAATGACCCCGGGGATGAAGGGCTTGTCATATGAAGAGCAACTGAGAACTCTGGGTCTGGACTCATTGAAATTGAGAAGATGAAGGGCATCTGATTGAAACTTATAGAGTACTGACAGGCCTGAATAGAGTGGATGTGGAGGTGATGTTTCCACTAGTGGAAGAAACTAAGACCCGAGGGGACAACTCAGACTGAAGGGATGACCCATTAGAACTGAGATGAGGATGAATTTCTTTGAACAGAGGGTGGTAAATCTGTGGAACTCATTGCCACAGAGGACTGTGGAGGCCAAGTCATTGAGTGTATTTAAGACAGACAGATAAGTTCTTGATTACTAAGGGATCAAGGATTACAGGGAGAAGGCAGGAGAATGCGGTTGAAAATCATATCAGTCATGATCAAATGATGGAGCAGACATAATGGATCGAATAGCTTAATTCTGTCCTTGTATCTTACAGTCTTATGCTGCCCTTGTTCTTCTAGATGGTAGAGGTGATGCATTTTTAAAGCTGTTCAAGGGGCCTTGATGTCTTATAGATGGTATATGTTGTTGTCACTGTGCTTTGGTAGCGGAGGGAGTGATGTTTAAGGTACTGCCTTTGCTTTATATCCCCTAATACTCTTATCCGACAACAGATGAACAATCTTACCTTGAACATGTCAAATGACCCTCAACATTCACTAACTTTTGGAGTGACCGGGGGGCTGGTGGTGGTGGTGGTTGGGGAGTTCATACTCCCTTTTAGTGACACTGGGGTGATTATTTGGAAACATTTTACACAGAAACATAGAAACTAGGCGCAGGTGTAAACCATTCTGCCCTTCAAACCTACCTCACTATTCATTACGATCAGGGCAGATCCTCTACCTAAATGCCATCTTCCCACTTTCTCCCCATACCCCTTGATGCCTTTAAAATCTAAAAAAATTTCTTCTTTCTTAAATTTATTCAGTGACTTGGCCTCCACAGTCTTCTAAGGATTCCAAAAGTTCACTACTTTCTGAGTGAAGAAATTGTTCCTCATCTCAGTCTACCCCATATCCTGAGATTGTGTTCCTTCGTTCTAGATTCCCCAACCAGGGGAAAACATCCTCCTTGCATTTTGTCTGTCTAGCTCTGTTAGAATTTTACATGTTTCAGTCAGATACCCTCTCATCCTTCTAAAC